CGTGTCTTACTACGTTATATATTATATATATATATTANATTATTATATTATATTATATATAACTATATATATATATATATATATATATATATATATATATGCATGTATGTATGTATGTATGTATGTATGTATGTTTATATATAAATGTGTTTTGTGGTCTTTTTTTGTTTGTTTTTTTGTTTGTTTGTTTTTTTGTGTGTGTGTATATAAGCTAGTGTATCTAGGGTGTATGTTGTGTCCTAAATTATTCAAGGCATAGTCGCAGACTAATTTACTTGTCGCTGGCTAAATGTGATACAAAAATATTTACTTAATTATCATGACTTTTATATCTTTAGTGTACTTTTGATGCTCGATGATATTATGTACGGGCTTAGTTTATGTTCATTAATTCGGTTTAGGATAAGTGATTTTTTTGTAACTATAATGTGATTCTACTATATAGTGATTCTGCTTTCGATGGTTAAAGACTTTGTATGAGTTAAGGATCCGCAATAATAGTCTTGAGACAGTGCAATAATCATTTCAATACGGCTGTTTTAACTACAGTAGTCTTGTCTTTCATATAGGTTTTAATATGGCCTATAGCCTTAGTAGCGTTTGTCGCACCCGATGGCTGATACTTTGGTAAGCGTTCCCGATGCTGAACTCACACTCTACATCACAAGCTTATTTTATTGTCCTCTCGCCCTTCGAATACATACTGAAGTCCCACGATGCAACAATTTTGATGCACTATCATCATTCATACAATCGCATCGCAGCTGTCAACTGTCATTATTTAGTTGTTTACTATGAATAGCTGCCTCAAAGCATTTCACTGTCCACAGCTTAAGCTTGACTGGTACGAATTAAAGTGCACACATAAATACGACAATTTGGTTCACACATTTTTGCATAAATTAATGTAGTAATTTGACGATGCAGGTCTTGTTAAAACAAGGGCAGGCACTTGAAGAAAAATCCGATGATGGGAGGGAAGGTGAGATTATTTGGGGTGTCTGAATGTTCGTAGATCTGTGAAGATATCTGGAATCGAATACCATTTCTAGGCACACCTGATTGTGGTATATATTGTGACGTGCATTTTTTTTTATGTCTAGTCAGCCAAGTATCTAGGCGACGGATAGATGTGGTATGTGAGTGAACCGTCCTGGAAGAGATTTCAAGTAGGCAGATGTATATGTGCTGATGGATGAGTGTTTTTTTTGTACGTATAGGTGTTTACTTATTCATCGGGATACGAGGCAGACTATTATCAACCAAAAAGATGAAGATAAAAACGGTTGCAATTATTTCATACGAGACTCGATGCCTGCCTGTGCCGGCATAAAATCTTATTGCGTTACGTATTAATATGCATGAATATAAATGTGAATCTGATTTTTAATGTACGAGAGAGCTCGACGGACCAATAAATGCGTGGCTTCCATAGGTTTGCACCAATTCCCCCTACTTGGTGCATGCACACTAGAATGCCCATATTTCAGTTAAAAAAATATACACACACGCAAACACACACAGACCCGCTGAATCACATACATCCGCCCCTTAGCACCGAGCTCTCTCAGTTCATGTGTTTTAACTAGACGTTGAGCTTTGCCTGACAGATCTCGTATGTTATGCTCAATCGTGTTCTATCGCCATAGTTGTGGTTCGCTGTCTCATGCAAAACTACATCATGCACTTCAGTACATTACTTATCCCATGCAAGGACGTATTGCAAGCGCTCGTTCGACCCACTCGGGTTTGCTTAATACGGCCCCCCATACACAACCACTGGGCTCTCCTTCGTAGTTATAACTGCAACAAACGATATCACATGTCCACTGACCCCTAGTCGTACACTTTATGCTGTGTGGGACGACCTTACCCACCCATGCACAACAATCTTGCCATTCATACAGTGGAACTAGCGACGGCTGCACATCTGTTGCCACCAGGTTCACTACATTCGTGGTTGCGTTGGGGTGATAGGCATCTGCCCCATGTGCACATTGCAGACCACAACTCCGATGGATTTACCAACGACTACTACGGAAGCTTTCTGGACGATGCGAAAAATTTGGGTGTGTACGATCTTCTTGCTATGCAGCATCTCTGTTCTGCGTCGACTGTACTGGCGAGGTATGTTGCGCGATGTGGTAGTAGGCTTTGTTCGTACCTGTGAAATAAGCACTGGAAATGGTCATACACGGGTATTTGCTTTGGTCTATTGGTTTGGTAATGACTTCCACGAAAGCTTTCTAAACGATGCGATCATGTAGATGTGCAAAGCCCACTTGCTATGCAGTGTTCTGTCTGCTGTACTCGCGCGATTGGGCTATGTGGAGCAGTAGAGGGCTTCATATGTGCCGCCTTAGTTGCCAATCTTGCCTTTGAAAGCTACCGGAACTTAATAAGCGATGCGAATTGTGTTCGAGTTTATGATGTTCTAATCAAGGCTTTGATGTACTATGTCAAGGCCTTCGCGCATCATATTAAATCAGCTCTGTACCAATTTGGCCGGAAATCGCAAGATGCAAGTGTGTTTAGCAGATATGCATGAGTACGCTCGTATACATTCAGACATACCTGTAATCACCGTTGTGTATCAACCATCGGTGTGAGTGAAGTCGTATTTGTGATGCACTACATAGATATACATATTTACTGTGGGTTGAAAACTTGTATACGAGTACATATATAGATATTTATTCATTGCCTCTTCAACTTTCACTGTCTACAAAGATGTAAATTTGCACGAATTCATAGTGAGCACAAATATTCGGTATTCAAAGAGTTTCTGAGCCGCGCTGTTTATGTGCCCCATATACTGGTGCATATCGCAATGCACAATGCCGCAATACCATTCGTTTAACCTAAATTATCTCGTTTACACTCACGCGGACCTTTTGTATCCAGTTGCTATTTTTTTGTTTATCGTTGCCATTCGTTCTCATCCGTGCGCTCTGGGCTCCTTTTTCAACATCCCATTCACACTTGTTCATCCTGACTCGAATACCTATGTACTCTACCTCGCACACGGCTTTGTGAATACATCCCATCCGATTTAATCATCCTGAAGCAAGTACACGTTGATAATAACGGACACAGATATGTACGAACATCCCATTACTAGTCGTCATCCTGACAGGAATCTGTCTTCAATTTCGCACAGATCTTTGTACCTAATCGCTGGAGGTACTGAACATTTAGCTACCACCATCAATGCGGACTGTACCGCACTCAAAGGCCTAGTGACATCTCTAACCGTGTCTATGGATTCGGAGTACGTACGTGATATCACGAATGGCACTGAATGCGCCGCAAGGGGGTATCCAGGGTCGGCAGGTATAGCATATCCGTAAAATTACGGATACTGGATGTAAAAATTTGTGTCGTGAGGCTTTAGTATGTGTAGGGTGTATGTGTGAGATACACACAAGAAGTTTCCGCCGCGAATCTTGAGAATGTGCATAATGCGGGTGTAAGATATACGAAACTATCGGATATTCGATGTAACCGTTGTCACCGTTGTGAACTTGTGTACAATGTGGGTGTGGGGTATGCGTCAATTTTTGGGTATGATATAGCTATTTGTCGCGAGTCTCTGTAAGTGCAGACGACCGATGTGTGTTTAGCGCAGTGTTTTTTAGTACTGGCTTTAGATAGAACGTACGGAAGCAATACACATGTCGAGGGCAAATTTTGAGCTATCTTCAAATAGAAGGAAATCAAACACTCCCATATATCTCGCTTCGAGCTTGCATTTCACCGCTAGACACAATACGTAGAATGTGACGTACACTGCTAAACCATCATTGCTGTTGCTCTAATATTCAAGGGTATATTACCACCTTATACAATTAGTATTGCTTGCGACATGAGCATCCAGTAGATAATCGGAGAATATCGAGCATGTATATGAAGTAGAGGTCGAACCAGATGCTATGCGATTCTGACCATGTCTAGACGAAAGTTCTAGTTTTAATTGGTGGTATTGTTATATATCTGGCCGTTTTTTGGAACTATAATCTAGCTAGCGCTTTTTATTTGGTGCTTAATCGTATCTTGGCTATGTTGAAGGTCCTAAAACCTAGATATAGTAATTTTATTACGTGTTTCGGCCCAACTCCCTTCATCTTATTCGAATGGTCATAGCAGCTGTCACCTTGCGCAGGGTTATGTAACCGCTTATAAGTAGACTATCATCTCTCGTGCTAGTATTAATATCTACCAAACATCAATCTCGAATGCTACTATCAAATATTGTACCCCTAACGCAATCGTACACCCTCTTGCTCCTCACTTTGTCTGCAGATAATCAGCCCTTGTCATTATATGTGGGCGTGGCGAAACAACGCCCGCAGTGTGGATCTGTGGCATATGTCGCGTATCTCGTACTCATGAGAGCGCTTACGAAAACTGCCGTTCCCTCCATCGACGATATGGGAAATTGCGGTACTGAGGTGTGTGGTATACTACAGTAGAAGTAGTGTTTTTTCGAGATAGTCAAATATATCGTGTATATCGTACCCGTATGCGCGTGTGCGAGGACTGTTGTCCCCGATGTAGACGATACGGGAAAGTATGGTACTGAGGTTATGTAGTATACTAGTAAATATAATTTGAGTCCGAAGTAGTTCTATATTTCCCGCATCTGGTACTCGAGCGAGCGCTTGCGAAGTCTGCCGTTGATCCAATGTATGTCTTCTCATATAGATGTTTCTCTGTATATATCGTATTTTGTGCTGGTCTGAGCTGTTTCCGAGCGCCCTGCTCACAATACGTGATACGGAAACGTGTGGAATTGAGGACTCAGATGTGTGATTTAGATTCAGTCTTTGTGCACGTAGATCCTAGGCGAGGTCGAAGTGCCCAATTTGCATAGAAATGTATACTGGTTTTGGCGCTTTTTGGAGCTGTCGGTCTTTTTACTGAAGTGTCTTCGATTTAGTATGTATCTTGAGATCGAATGTCCTTATATTTCGTTCCTCATGCTGCATTGAGCGATGAAAATACGCTCGACCAAGGTGTGAGTCTTGGATTCATTGTAGCTATTTCTATTGTTTGAGATTCTTCGTATATCGTAGCGTAGGCTCTTCATATATTGTAACCTAGGCTGATCCGAGCGCTTGCTTAGAATGTTTACTTGACTGAAAATGATATATGAGAATGTACTGTATAGAGGTGCTGTATGAAGGAGTACGTCTTTAATTCATTTTGATCGAGTTGTTCGTATAGCTATTCAATCCACTCCTTTTCTTTTGTGTACGACGGCAATACAGGGTTATATGTGGCTGGACGGAGCGTGTTATCACAGCACGCAAACTGCCATGGGTAGGGCTATATCTCCGGCCTTTTTGTTCAACACGGATACAGGTAAGTTAGTACATTGAGAATTTCTTTGCATCCTAAATATTCTTCAAAGTGCTTTACTGTATGGTGCACACTCTTCTGGATTGAGTTGTAACGTACCATAAACAAAAAAGGTTACCGAGCGAGAAAAAATACTTGATTCAGATCATTCAATATAGTAGTTGTTAATTTAGCATGTTTGTAAACAGGGGCCCATGAAATTGTCAACAAGTCATTCTCCATGTGGACTGAAAGCGAATGGAGTCCTGATACACCATATACCATGGCATTTGTCGCAGAGTCGCCGTCGGAGAGACTGGTTGCTATGGTCACGGGGTTGGCGACCAGTTTTCTAAGGTGTGTTAACTGCCTATTACGTACTGCTGTCGGAGTCGACGCAAAGCTTCCTTCGTTCATATTGTTCCTATTAGATTGTTCGATGACCATTCATTCCGTACCATTTTGCTTGGTTTGGGTTCAGTTTCACATGAATTCGACTTGCACTGGTATAGCCAGAACTCAATTATTGTTTACTTGAAGTGTGGAAAAGAAATATGAGATAGGATTAGATTGGAATATGTGGGTGTTTGTGTGCTGTGAAGCATTGAATACGCGAATGGTCGCTTTGACGCTGGTTTTTGTGCTCTCATTCACTTGTTATGCAACTAGTTAGCTTTTTTTTCGTGCCTTTTTTATCACAGCATGTTCCCTAAAAGATCATGGATATTTGTGAAGACATGTATATGTATAGGTACATATACGTAGTATAATTTCACTTTATCACTCATATGTACCTTATAGATGCGCACTTGTATACACCTCTTCGTATATAATACATGTTTATATTTCTATAAATGAAATATTTATGTAGGTGGTGTAGGAAAATTATGTATCACAGGGAAAACAAGGCTTACACAAACTTATATTTCTTCGATACAGTATCTGTGTCGTTCTCTGCGTTCAAAGGTATGGCATTTTGTCAACCCGAGGCCGAGATATAAGCACAAGTGACGACCCATCCATAGTCAGCTAATCACAATTACATCGCAAAGACGCTATGTATGCTGATTCTATCCCGTGAATTTAACCGACATGGAATTGTATTGAGCGAAAGCTGAATAGACTATCGTCTTCAACTTCACTGTATGTGACCGTGGGCGGCGATCAGCGGCTACTCAAACGCTGATTGACGGTCATGAATATGAGCTTATAGCGTTATAGAGGTGAGCCGAGCATCGTACAATCCAACGAGCTCGTATGTTTCACATTCTCTTAGACACCGACTAGTGTGCCAATGTGATTTGAGTATGACAATGGTATTCCAATATATCTCGTCTCTCACAACATAGAGCATTAATTAGTCCAAAGCTTGACATTGGAAACATGGTGCAACCACCTCACTGGAGGGCTAGATGTAGATCCAGAATTTTTAATGTGCAATAGCAATACAGATGCCCACAACCACGAGATACTTTCATAGACGCGATTTTAGCATGCTTTCCCGCATATCATCACTTTACTGGTCTCCAGGAGAGGCGGGGAGAAAACAACCCACCAATAGTTGAGATGTCTGAAGCAGACTGAGATTTCGAATACATATGTGAGAAGCGGATGCATCGGCAAACAAATGAGCTCTTCACTGACTCCTGAATTCGCAAATGGATTGATTGTTCACCTTGCACTCAAGCCAGCTGACAGAAGGGAGTATCTTCGTCGATGAGTAGAATATGAAGTGCTGTGTCAAATTAAAGGCTTCCAATGTTCCTTACAATGATTGGGTCGGCAACTATGTAAATCTTCTATTGGAATAAACACCACGTAAGCTACTGAACACTCAGTAGGAAGATAAAGTAAATTTCTCACGTTTTCGCAAAACTGACTACCATTTTCCAGTAGGTGCAGACTATCTATGGCAAGCTGTATTGCGATTGTAGTATGATAATGCAGATATTCCATTTATTATATATATTGTCAAATCTCCAAGGTATGCCTCATGTTCGAATTAAAATTAGATTCGCCTTTGATTGGGCAAGTTTTGATACGCTCCTTCTACGACATCATCCTCATCGCGCTTCTATACCCATAATATAAAATTCATGGACTTGCAAGCCGAAAGCGTCATCGACTGTCTTGTGGACCAATTCAACGAATATCAACACATCATTGTTTCCATACTGCTTATTCATCTTCATATCATTGATCCAGCTAATTTGTAGGCGCATTTGCACCCCACTGTTTGATTTGACGAAATCATCACTCGATAGTCTTCGTCGCCGTCATTATGAAACTGGGCACTCTTGTTGAGAGACTTGGACAACTACAAGAATTCTCCACTTTAATCGAAGCGTAACGCCTGGGGTGTGCCGGCCCACTTCAATGATTTATTAGTATGGTTGTAGTTGGACTCGATTGCATAAGTGTTAGGAATTGAGCGTGTTGCTGCCACTTGAGGCATCGACATTCGTTACATCTCTCAAGTTAGCAATACCACCTACAAACTTCAGGTTGTTGGAAGCCATAAATATCATTTAGTAAGCTGGATCCAGAAAATCAACAGACTGCAGCAAGCAGTGTAGAATCTTTTGATATGGACACATCATTCACCAGTGGAAAAAGAGCGTCTGCCAATTCGCTTGCAGCAAAATTCAGCGATTCGTTGTTGAGCAGTTTGAGCGGCACTATGAAGTGGATGTTGTCTGGATTAATTGAAGCGCGATCGGCAACATTTCCCTTGAGCGGAAATGGGGGAACTGCAAGTGTGTGGTTCCAAGTTTGTTTTATCGTGAGGCTCACCATTGTATATGCGTACCATACCACCTGGTATTGTATCACCCACAAAGTAGTCTTCGCAGCCAGAACAGTGCTCTACGCACTTCTAAAGGCACTATGCCAGCACCACCTTGATACACTGAACACAGACGCATATTTGGCTGCTTTGCATGCTCACCGGCAGTTTAGCATTCGATCGCAATTTTTCGCACATGAATATGATTGCCCTGTGAACAGGTTGAAACCATCGTCATACGATGTTATCGGTGCCCAGGCAGTGCTGACGACGGTATTCTGACGATCATTAATCGTAGTCATACGTGTGCTTGGTCGCATCAACAGCGGAAACGTACCATCGATCGATACTAAAACAAATTCATCAAGGTCATCGTCAGGTAATGGGTAATGTGCTAAACCTTTGTTCGCAGTATAAACTAATCTGCCCTTGCAGGAATCGTTCGTACAACCATTGGCCGGATCATCGTCTGCGGAGTCATCAAATATTTCGACTTCGATCTTTAGTTGCATGGAAAATGCGGGTTTATGCGTTAGTGCAATGATACGACCTGAGCCACCGAGCTCAGTACCATCCCCGAGTGCCATTACTAAGAAACAGTCACTCACTATCATGGTGCAAAAAAAAATATATATATATATATATATATATAGAGCCGCTGTGACATCCTGCAATTGAACACGCCGTAATGACTAGATATTTGCATACCATGTAGAGAAAAAAGAATCTTGAAGTTTATATATAAGTTTGCGTTCACGTTGTCGCCAGCTGTGTACGCCGATCGAATGCTTCACCTGCTGTTTGTCTTCTATCGTCATCGATAGCGTATCACCATCAGATGAAAGACGAACCAATGAGAATTCCGTGCATCCTCTTATGCCGTCGGGTGGGTCAAAACCGAATAGATCAGGATACTCCAGAAATCTGAGCGGAATGATTTGAAAGTGAAGAGACAATTTGACCCTTTGTTTCAGGCTTTCAAGCGGCAGTTTGTATATTCGGCATTTTGCAGGGATATTATCGTTTCCCCATCCTATTGTATCAATACTCGAATAAGTAGTATCCTGTTCGATAACGTCAAAACGAAATTGATGGTTTGTATATTGGACACAATGTATTGTTTACAATCAGTAGCGATACATAGGCCGCATGGAAAAGAATAGTAGTCATATTGCTACGAGCTTGTAGTCATTTTAAGGATAAATGGAATATAGTCCGTATAGACACTTTACTGCCAGCGCTCTCAGTCTTCATATTCTATATTCGAGACTTGCATAGGTTAAGTATTCTGAAGAAGAAAAAAAAATTATATCTTTGATTCATTTATGTTGGATATCTTTTCTGGATCCGAACTTAATTCAGGATTATCAAAAACATCAGCCAAACAGGTTGGTACGGCCTTTTTAGGATCATTACACAACACGTACCCCTTACAGCGTACAAAACACCTACTGTGGATTGAAAATCCTCTTGTTGAAGCAATCGGACCTTCAACCAGAGATTTGACTTCTGGTCGTAAATTCTTACGACAAAGTATTGGCTTCTCCGATAAACAAATCATCCAAAGGAATTTCAACTTCCAAACGATTGACATTTTTAAAGTCAAAAGTAGTCGTAGGTACCGTCATTGTGGAGTTCAAATCTGTCTCGTCTCTATCTCAATTTGTCCCTGTCTTATGATGTTCTGGATCTAAGTCTACTAAAAGTTCTTCAAATATAATTACTTCTTTATCTCTAGTTTGCTATCGCGCTCAGGTTACATAACCGTACTACTAGCGTCGAATCAAGAACAGAATCGAACTTGTCTTTAGAAGCAAATATTTCTGTTTTTTATCTTCTATTCCTTTGGTATTTACCTTCCGATATGTTTTGTCTTGATTTAATACTCAAAATATCAATCAGGTTTACTATTTGCTTTTGTTTGAGGATATGTATTCTTTTTTTTTGTGCAAGAGTGGCATAACATCGCCTTTACGAAAAAAATCAATGTATGTCTGTAGACATACATACTTACGGTTACGAGCGGGTGTGCGCATTCGCTTTTCATTTAATGAGTTACATCTTCTTTCGCTAAGTGAATCATTTCCACACAATGCAATTCTTGTTCGTGGATTCAGTGTGGTTCCTCATCGTTGCATAATCTTACTTGATATGATAGTTATGTCCCTCAAGGGCGTTCGATCGACTATTTGTGCAGAAAATCAAGAACTTCACACTCGTCGTCGTCGATATCGTCGTATGAGTGAGTATCGCCAATGTATGACCTAGATGCATGTTGTTCGACATACACCTCTACTCGCGGATAATCTGTACGATAATTACAAATATTTGTGTAGATTGCTGGCTTTACATTTAGGTAGTCATTTCTTTGTTAGACCTACAACCAATACCTTGTTATATAGTAGATCTTAAGTCGAAATGTGCTTCAGTATTTCTCAGTGAAACTCCTGTTGGGCTGCGGTGAGTATATAGTTAATGCAAACATACTACATGATGAGATGATTTCAAATTGCTATGTAGCATTGAATACTAAAATTAAGCTACATAATTTATAGTAAAACATTGAAAAGTTAGGCTGTAAAGGCAAGGTTCTGAAGTAAGTATATCTTAGGATATAAGTGCAGTTGCTGTTCACAGAGTAATAGTATGAATACCTATAGTGGGGTTATTGATCGTAATAGCAGATAGTTACTCTAAAAGCAGAGGATCAAGGTAGGTGGTCAAGGAGAGGTCAAGTCTACATGCAATAGAGAAGATTTTTTTACCTTGCAAACAAGGAGTACACATTTCTTGCATAAAGGAGCTAACGTGGGCTAACTATCTGCCTTTTCTTGTAGCGACAGCTGAAGAGAATTTAATTGCATGAAATTTAATTTTTTTTGGCATGATCCCAAGACGGTGTTGATAGGCTATAAAGGTCAGCTAAAGTATGAATGAGTCTTAAAATTTATGTGTATGAGACCTAGAATTTAAGTGTAGTTGTTAATCACTGAAAATTATCGACTCACTTGTATTAGTTTGAGCTCTTATCATGGGAATATTGACCGTAAAAGAATATATTAAACGTATAAACAAATGATTGAGAAGGTTGGTCAAGAAGATGGTGAAGTCTACATCTTGTCTATTGAACTATATTAGAGAAGGGTATGCTATCTTGTCAACAAGAATGCACATCTCTTGAACCAGCGCGCACTACATGCAATGGATACCGTACAATTTTTGTGTGTATTGTTAAAAATTAGAAGCTAACTCTACTACACTAGGCCAATTAATTGAATTTTCCTTTAGCGACAGCAGCTGAAAGGCATTTAATTATACGACTTTTTTTGGCATAATCTCAAGGCGGTGTTGTCTGTTCTTACTATAAAAGCTATCCACTCCATATAAAGTATACTTCTCCTTTCTGGGGTCCAACAATGGTTGACCCCCTATATCCTCAAAAATTGCTTGAGGACAAGATAGCCCCTTACCGTTATGCCAATTTAAAAGTTCACGGTATTTTGTTAAAAAAAATAGCCGGGCCTAACTTACATTTCTTATGCTTAGGCAGGTCCAAAAGTTGCGGCTGTCCAACAACTCCAGCTAAACCATCTAACGCTGGAAAAGAATGAGCAGCGGGTAATAAAGAAGGCTTAGAAGTACACAAGGTAATTTCTCACATTATTCGCCTCATTTAATTATTTATCTAACTTAGCTAGGATCAACATATCCTCACTTATGATTGATGTTTTTAAAAATTGCAACTCTGCTTCTCTCTCTTCTGCAGTGAAAGAAAGCCTAGCCTTCTTGGTTGGTGGCTGCACCCAGTTAAGTGGTAATGATATCGGGGTTTCCCCATCCCTTGGAATTCTAGTAAATAACACCGAACCAACACCTATCTGACTAGCATCTGAGAAGGAATGCAGATGATGATAGGATGTGGTGTACCTTGGTAGATGCTATTCGTAATAGCCGTAATCAAGGCACAAAACGTTGCATTGCAAGTAGCTGTCCCATCACCAACAAGGCGACGATTCTTCTGTAACAAGTCCGTAAGCGGTGCTAACATCATCGCTAGATTTGCTAAGTGTGTCTACCACCAATTTAACGTTGCTACAGAGTTTTGGACTGCTTATTTATCAGCTGGTGCTACTATCCTAGTTATGGCCTCCTTTTGTTTAGAAGAAACTGTATTAAACTATCAATTTACGGACGGCCATAATATATAATCGATTCACATTTATAGCGAGCGAATTGGCACTGAGAAGGCCTTAGCCTAATGTTGCAATCCCATGCTATCATCGCATATGACTTGCAATGCCTTCCAGTTTCTTTGCTCAAAGCTATGTCATATTTTGCATATTCCTTCATGTACAAAATGCCGAAATACTTTCTCCATTTCAAGAAATATCTGGTCTAGAAAAGGTTGTAAATAGGTCATCATCTTGGCTCCGAATATACCTGCAATAGGTTGCCAGACTTTGTCTTCTGAAGTAATCCACGTGAGATAACCTCCACTACGCTTTGTATACTCCAATTGGTTCAGGCTACATGTCATATCAAAGCATGAACGGATATCTGCCGAATGTAAATGTTCCAGGCACTCGTCCTCAGGCATCGGGAAAGGATCATCATCAAAATTGGGATTGGTAACTACATAATCTGGACAATAGCGGATATATTTTATCGGCTTAGGCTCAGCTCGCAAATCCTTACACGCCAGTACCGCTGACGATAAAATCTTGCTAAAGAAATATCCAGGCTCAATTATGCCTTTCTTAAAAACATTATCACATATTTCAGGCTCCCATTCAACCAATTGGGAATCACTCTGCTTGTACATGATACGCCTTGGTACTACATCAGACTTTATACGAATATACACTGCACATCCTTTAATAAAATTATGATGTTTTTCATCGCAGCTAGTCTATTATATGCATCCTTCATTTTTTGTATTTGCAGTGGTGTCTTGTTGTATTTGCAGTGGTGTCTTGTGTATTCTCGAGCCCAAATTTTCTATACCTCTGACGTCAAATTCCTCCACCTCAGATGGAGATGCCTATTTTTACGCTGATACTCCAGCTCGGCTACCTAGTCCACAATTGTAGACACCAAAGTTCTCACGAATTCTTCATTTGAAGATTGCTGTTGCAGCTTCAATTCAACAGCTGGTTGAGTCCTTAAAAGATTCCACCACGTATGAATTAGATGCTTTTCTTGTGCTCTTAACCCAAATAGAATCTGCCAATCCATAGGCACTTCGTTCGTTATATGAAAAGTAGTTGGTTTAAATCTTTCTCGTTAAAGATCTCAAAAAGTGTTGGCATTGTACGATACTGTGTAGCTGGGTCTAGCATTACTCCACCGAAAGAAATCATATGAACTGAGTTCATGTACATTACTTCTTAGCCATTCAAAACTACCAGTCAGGGAGAGCCCCATCAACTTCTCGCTCCTTACGCACACAAGCACTGTGATAAGCTTGTGACTTTTTCCCCGAAAAACCTTGGCCATTGACCTCTTCCATAAAGGATGCTGTCTTTGCAAAACCCACATACTTATGAAGAGCTAGAAATGCGGATCTCTGAACTCCTGTTGTACATGC